TAGAGGAAGTTAGAGTCAGCGCGAGTCGTAAGAGGTGGGTAGCAATGGTCTACTTGATGACTTGGCTCATTCCTGATTTCTTGATACGATGGATCGGTCGCATGCCTCGAAAAGACGTTCGGTTGGCTTGGAGAGAAAAGCTTGCGATCAACATGATGATTTGGTGGGCTTGTCTCTTCTCCGCTTTCTTCGTCGTGATCTTTCCAAAATTGATTTGTCCAACTCAACACGTTTATAGCGCAGCTGAGTTGACGTCGTACGATGGGAAAAGCAACGACGCCTATGTTGCCATTAGAGGAACGGTTTTTGATCTCTCAAGTTTTTCAACTCGTCACTACCCCTCGATTATACCCCAAAAGAGTATCTTGAAGTACGCTGGTATTGATGCTACTGGCCTATTTCCGATTCAAGTATCGGCTCTCTGTCAAGGAACCACAGGCTCTATCGATCCTTCAGTGCAACTTGATTACACTTCTTCTAATGTCAGTGGTTCCGCCTCTACAGTCAGTAGCACAGACGCCAATGCTGCATATCATGACTTCCGTGCCTTCAAGAATGATTCCCGTCCCGATTGGTTCATAGAGCAAATGATCATGCTTAAAGAGTCCGGTTATTATAAGGGTCATATTGGTTATACGGCGTCATATGTGAAAACGCTTGCTTCGAAATTGGACTCGATCGGCATCATTGATGGTAAAGTCTATGACCTTACCAAGTATATTTCTGGAGGTCGTAAAATCATTGTTGCTGAGGGCGAAACTGCATCTTCGGATGTTAGTGTCGACTTCATGTCACCCTTGGTCGTGGACTTGTTTCAACAAAAATCTGGAAAGGACGTCACGAAATACTGGAATGCTCTTGCCATTAGTGATGAGATGCGGTCTAGAATGAAGATTTGTCTCGATAATCTTTTTTATGTTGCAGATGTTGATACTAGAAACTCTATCAAGTGTCAATTTGCTGAGTACTTGATTTTGGCCATCACGATCATTCTTAGCTCTGTCATCGTCTTCAAATTTTTCGCGGCTCTTCAATTCGGTGGCAAAAACATACCCGAAAATTTGGATAAGTTCGTCATCTGTCAAGTGCCTGTCTATACAGAAGACGAGGACTCTCTTCGACGTGCTATCGACTCCATTGCCAGAATGAAGTATGACGACAAGCGTAAACTCTTGGTTGTTATCTGTGATGGTATGATTATTGGTCAAGGTAACGATAGACCTACTCCACGCATCGTTTTAGATATTCTTGGGGTATCAGACACCGTTGACCCTGAACCCCTGAGCTTTGAGTCTTTGGGAGAAGGAATGAAGCAACACAATATGGGCAAGTGTTATTCCGGTCTTTACGAGGTCCAAGGTCATATCGTTCCTTTCTTGGTCGTCGTGAAAGTTGGCAAGCCTTCTGAAGTTTCCAAACCAGGAAACAGAGGAAAGCGTGATTCTCAAATGGTCATAATGCGATTCTTGAACCGTGTTCACTACAATGCGCCGATGAGCCCTCTCGAGCTTGAAATGTATCATCAAATTCGCAATATCATTGGTGTCAATCCGACATTTTATGAATTCATGTTACAAATTGATGCCGATACGGTCGTTGCAGCGGACTCTGCCTCACGAATGGTTTCAGCATTCTTGGACGATACTAAATTACTCGGTGTTTGTGGAGAGACGGCATTAACGAACTCCAAATCTTCATTCGTCACTATGATTCAAGTTTATGAGTACTTCATCTCTCACAATCTTGCGAAAGCGTTCGAAAGTTTGTTTGGTAGTGTTACTTGTCTGCCAGGTTGTTTCACAATGTATCGTGTTCGAGCTGCAGAATCCGGAAAGCCTCTATTCGTCAGTCGTGAAGTTGTGGAAGCCTATGCCAACATTCGAGTCGATACACTTCACATGAAGAACTTGCTACATTTGGGAGAAGATCGTTACTTGACCACACTTCTCATGAAACACCATGCCAAGTACAAGACCAAGTATATCAGTACCGCTCACGCTTGGACTATTGCTCCTGACTCCTGGGCTGTCTTCCTTTCTCAACGTCGTCGCTGGATTAACTCAACAGTACACAATCTTGCGGAACTCGTGCCTATGTCCGAACTTTGTGGTTTCTGCTGCTTCAGTATGCGTTTCGTTGTCATGATTGATTTGATCTCCACATTGGTTCAACCGGTCACTGTTGCTTATATCGTCTATCTCATCGTCCTCGTTATCCAATCGCCAAGTTTTGTTCCTGTCACGGCTTTCATTCTACTTGCTGCAATCTATGGTTTGCAAGCAATCATCTTCATCGTACGACGCAAATGGGAGATGATCGGATGGATGATTCTTTACATCCTTGCCATTCCTGTGTACTCCTTGTGTCTTCCATTGTATAGTTTCTGGCATATGGATGATTTCTCTTGGGGTAACACTCGTGTTGTTACTGGAGAGTCGGGTAAACAGATTGTCATCACTGATGAAGGAGTGTTTGATCCCGCATCTATTCCACACAAGAAATGGGAAGACTATCAAGCCGAGCTTTGGGAAGCTCAAACTCAACAAGATGATGATGGAAGATCTGTCATTTCAGGATATTCCTATGGTACTAAGTATCAACCTAACGTCTCGGAATACGCCATTCCAGCATCTCGTTCAATGTCCCAGTACAATGGTTATGGTATCGACTCTAAGAATGGCAATCCATATCAATCCCGTCTCTCATTGGCTCCATCAGAAATGGGAATGGGTACACCAGGAAATCGAGCTAGTCAATTCAGCGGAAGTCAATATTTCGGTCAACAAGAAATGGAAATGTCCAATTTGGCAGGTTTGCCAAGTGATGACTCTATCTTGCAAGAGATTAGAGATATTCTCAGAACAGCTGATTTGATGACAATTACGAAAAAGAGTATCAAGATGGAGTTAGAGAAGAGATTTGGTGTTTCACTTGATGCTAGAAGAGCTTATATTAATTCTGGTATGTTATCACTTATTCCCAATTCAGATTTTTCGTCAACTAACTTTTAAATAGCAACTGAAGCACTTCTTTCTGGTCAACTATGAGGGAAATGAATGGAAAGAGATTTATATTTGAATTACATGCATATAAAACGGAGTCATTATTGTCAATCTTTCGACGATTTGAATAATTTTCTTACTAGGGTTTGAAAAGATTTGAGGGAATCAATGGGGGGTTGGATTGGGTTTTGAAGCATTGGAGCGATCTGAATTGTATGGTTGTGAGAAATGGTTGTAGTGAAGAAGGAAAGGAAAACTTGGTTACATTATATTACTGGGTTTTATTTGAGCTTGAAAGTTGACTTCAAGATGGGCAGAATGGAATGCAACGGGGCGTAATTAGGGTTTTAGAGATCTTTTCTCTGAAGATTAATAACACTTTTTCTGTCAGATTCCTAGTTTTTTATTGCGTGATTGTGAAGACCGATTTGTATAGATTATGGTGATGAGAGACAGAGTTGAAATTGAGAGAGGTGAGTGGATGGGAGTAATGTTTTAGAGCCTACGAGAAAACCACTGGTGATGCTTTTACGGAGGGAGAGTCTTTGGGTGTCATACACTAGGATTTCATTAAAACGAATTTGATCAAAAGGAATCGAGATAGTTAACCTATCATCCTGAGGGAAAGAGAAGATATCTTGAGCTAACATTGAGATTTCTGGAATGGTTTTTGGGAGACTAGGAACATTTTGGGGTGTTGAGTTAGTGCGAGGGGGTATGGTAGTGAGGAATGTTCTGCAATGGAACTCCTTTGTGGAAGAATATCTTAAAGCGCTAGATTGCTGTGGTTAGATGAGTCGATTTGGTGGATGTGTGTGTGTGTGTGTGTGTGCTGGTTTTTGTGTTGTTGGGATGTTTGTTGATGAGGGGATGGGAATTGAGGAAATGGGAAATGGGAAATGGGAAATGGGAAATGGGAAATGGGAAATGGGAAATGGGAAATGGGAAATGGGAAATGGGAAATGGGAAATGGGAAATGGGAAATGGGAAATGGGAAATGGGAAATGGGAAATGGGAAATGGGAAATGGGAAATGGGAAATGGGAAAGCAAGTGTTTGAGAGTTGGGGATGTTTAGATGACTGGATGGTTGGAATGGTTGGGATGGTTGGGATGGTTGTAGATAGATAGAGTGGTGAGTGGTGAGTGCTGTGTTTTTGTAATGGTGGGAATGGTGGGATAAGTAGGTAAAGAGGGGAAATTTGTGGGAATTGACGAGTGCATGTTATGTTATGTAGTGAGATATTATGCGTGTTTTTGGAGATTAGCTGATGAACTTTTCTGTACACGGACTCCATGAGTTTCTTAATTCTTCTTTGGTTGATAGAATTTATCTTTTTTGGAACGGTTGTGTGGAGTTCTTGATGCTTATGGGAAGGAAAGAAAATTTGTGTTGTGGTGTGTTTGGTTGTTGATGGAGAGAGTGCGTATGCGGGATATGTATCCTTGGTTAGAGGGTAGAAGCCAGGAATATGATGAGATGGAGGGGAAGTTAAGGGTAGAGAAGGATAGGGCTGATGATTTGGATGGATAGTTTGAGGAGGCGAGAGAGGAGGGAAGGATGAAGGAGGTGGATTGGAGAGAGGGTTTGTGGGGAGAATTGTGGTTTCCACGATGATTTAGATATTGCAAACTTTTACATATATTCATGGGTGCGGTCACTTCTAACTCATGGTTGTTAGTCATTTCGAGGATGGAGTGTTCTTTGAAATTGATTGCTCATTGTTTGCTCTTTGAAGATTCTGAAAACTTCTCGTTTTATCATCTTACCTCATTAATACCAACAGTCACTTTGACAGTGGTCGCTTGTCGTGCAACATAGATGAGTATGCAAACTTTGTACATTTTGAAATATATATTGTGCTAAGGTAACCAGTTCGATATTTCAACATTATGATTCTCACCTAGGCTAGGGAATTTTCTTTCAAAGCCAGATAGTTGCTTATTCTTACCTTTATTTACCGAGTTCGAACTCGGCAAAAAAATCCATCGCCAAAATCATGCCATCAATATTCAATCGAACGCCAGTCGAAGTTCGACAAAAAACCGAAATCGATCTTCTCAGAAGAAAAGTGACCGCACTGGAAAAGGAAATTTCGGCCGAGAAGAAGAATGTAGCTAGTTATGTGAAGTCCGAAAAGGATACTCTTGCAGCGTGGCGGAAATACGTGGAGAATTTATTCAGGGGTCTGAGAGAGGATTATGCGAATCTACAAGAGAGTTTGGAGCGGACGGAAGCGAATTACAGGAATGAATTGGGATTGCCTAGGTATGAGAGGGAGGGAGTGGAAAATAGTGGGGTGGGTAGAGATGATCATCGGGATGGGGATGGTTATGGAGCTCAGAGGAATGAGTTTAGCAGAGAGAGTAATCGGGGTGAAAATGGTCACGGTGGACGGAGGAATCAAGGGGGTCAAGAGGATCAAACGGAAAAAGTTGAGTCTGAGACTCAAGGAGATCAGGGCTTTGGGAATGGAGGAGTCGAAGAAGCTCAATCAAATGCAGATTGGGGGGGTGGGAATGAAGAAGAGAAGAAAGAAAAACAGGCGGCAGGAGGTGAGTGGGATAAGTGAGTGGGAGATTATAGAAGTGGAATTTTGGATAGTACCTGGTAGGAAATTTTTGTAATTTCTTAGCGAATCGATCAATTATGGAAGCTAAGCTCTGGATCTTGCGTACAAGTGATTTGTAACATAAATTCAAATGACCTGACTTGGATTGTGGAATAGATACTTAATATCTGAAAGTAGGTAGCTTGTGCAGTGAAAACTCAGTATTTGACAAGTAATTTGACAAAACTAGCCAAAGATTGATGGAATGACTCGTTGATTGTTAAACTCCTTGCATATGGAATGGAAAGCAAATTTATCAGTTGCTGTGTATACACTCCATGAATGATTCATAAACAAACTCGAAAAATGAGTCGTGAGGATTGTTTGTATAGTGACTATAGTCTGTCAATGTGTGACATATCAATGTTATTAGATAGTATTACAATCATCATGACTTGGACCAGCAAACTCTGAAACAGTGGTAATATATATCACGAGTAGAGAAGATCAACCAAAATATCATGAAAGTAGTGTTCTCCTCCTTAAAAGACTCGAGTAAATACAACAAAAGAAGACAAAATGGGAATATTTTCAAGCTCAGAGTCTTCTTTCAATCACTCGCAACAATATTCTAAATCCTCTAGTAGTTACAGAATCCCTGCAAATCCTCAGACAAGAATTGCTCCCCAATTGACATACGAACAACTCAGAAGAAGAATTGTGTATCTCGAGGAAGGAATTCATAAGCTGGAGGGACAATTGGAAGCAGCTGATTTGCGTAGTAGAATGTGGTGGACAGATGTAGAAAACTATTATAAAGGCATGAAGAAAGATTCTGAGGAGTTGCAGAGGAAGGTTGATCAGAGACAAGTGCGGTTTAGAAGTGCAATGAGGAAAGCTCAGGATCAGGAGAGGGCTATCAGGGAATATGAAGAAAGAGTGTAGGAGTGGCGAGAAGAGATTGAGGTTACTTGATCCAAGTGAAGGGAAGATAGCACGAAAGTTCGGGTAGATGATGCAATTTGTTTTAGCGAATCGATGATTCATGAAGCCAAAATGATAATTGGTGTATTTTGAGATCTTGATAGAAACACTGTATGAAGTCTTAAAAGTCTCATTATGCGATGCGGTCTTATTCTACTTTTTGAAATTCACCGTAAGCCCTCCTCCCCGATATTCTTCCATACCACTACTAGTGATTCCTTATGTGTTGGCGAACACCTTTGGAAAAAGCAGCCACGAATTTAACATCGTCATGATATCTCATAATGCAATCATGTATCTGAGTGCTGTGAAAATGCAAACAAACAAAGACCATATAATGAATCCAAAATCGTTGCGGCATAGTTATATTTTCAGAATCAGCACAGTAGAGAATCTGGAATACAATCCCTATCAGAAACACCACCCACCCCGAATAAGTAAAATGGGAGACCGCGGATACTACCAACATTATTACCTTCAAAGGGCCAGGGAACAAGCAAGATATGATGTACCGACATTCCAACGTCTTTCGCCTATTAAAACTCCCCCAGGCATCTTCACCGAAACAGAAAAAGCAGTAGAAAGCACCAAAAAAGCGCGCGAGAAGTATTTCTACTGTATCAATAAAGCAGAAGAAGATCTTATGAAGTATTTGAAATCCAGATGTGCATCTCCGGCACCAATGAGTCATCTCAGAAGCTTCTGGGAAGCAGCAGAAGGGAGTAGGAAAGAGGCTAGAAAGGCAAGACAAGATTATTATGAATCGTGTAAACATGGGGAGAAGATGAGAGAGAGGCTGCATAAAGATATCCTTGGATTTTTGGTGAAGGAGTTGAATTCTTTGAGTGCTGCTGTTGGGAAATTGCAGGATGAGAGTGTGGTGAGGAGATTCATGGAGGGATATACAGGGGAACATGTAGGCTTGGTACGCAGATAATGGGATATTTTGCTCCTAGAACTGGGAAGCTGAGAGGGCACCTGGACTGAAAAGTTACTGGGGGTAGACTTTAATCATTACATATGTGGATATCAAGATTGAATTAGTCCCATCTCTTTCAGTGATGATTCGAGGTTTGATTGCTTTCGGGATGTTGTGACAAGTCAAGTGGGGTGTACTGAAAAATATTGAGATAAATAGTAACTAATTAGAAATTCACAATTTACGTCATGAAAAATGGAAAAGTCATCATCTAAAAGGAGAATATATGATCGCGTCAGTAAACCAGAGAAGGAATGACAATCACTAACGAATCGTGAAACCAAAGATATATCAACTATGACTGGTCAACATTTGGTATGAGAATTTTCAATAAGGTCAGCACATCTGGCTCTATGATTGTTTCTTCGTCAGTACCAATATCGGGGAGAAGCTATGAGTGAGATAGAAATATTTCTGTAGGGACATTCAACTGGTGAAGACCAAGATATAAAAGGTAGGCAATGGCCGCTCTGAAATTATGTCCGATCATTCAATCACTCCGAAGAGAGGAAGAAAACAAAGAGCATAATAACTACAATCCATCCAATGCCCAAAGCAACGATATCCAACCCCGAGTGGTGGGAGCAAAGACAATGCTGCGATGGGTCAAAATTCTACTACAACATTGCAACAAATGAAAGAACAAAACTGAATCCCACCCGTGGTCCACTTCCTCCGGGTTGGCTGGAATTTGAAGATCAGGGAGAAATTCTAGCTCGCCAAGTCCGCACTGGAATCATTGCAAAGACAGACCCACGATGCTACCGACCAGACCAAGAGAGACGAGCGGCTGCAACAATTCATGAATGGACTACGCACCTAGCGAGTCCTTTATATAGCCAACCTACCGCCCATAGCGTCTTGAGAATTATCTGGAGAGATGTGGAAATGCATCTTCCTGGATTTCGAGTAGATTTGGAGCAATATGAAAAGTTGAGAATGAAGGCTACCTTCAACGCTGAGCTCGTTCAAAGTTTAGATGATAATCTTCAAGCTATTGAAACTTGGCGTGCTATGGCCGAAATGCAGGTGGAAAAGTTGGAAAAGAATGCTGCAGCTTCGGGGAGGAATATCAATGTGGAAGGATTGAGAAGAAACTTTGATGCTTTTGGAAAAGCTGTTGATGCAGCAACACAAGAAATGATTGAAGGGTGGTTGACAACAGAGCACAACATGTATCTGTTGAAATTGTTGGAAGTTTTCTTTAGTTCATTGAGAAGGCCAACATGGGGATAGTTGAATTATGTAGATGCGATACTCCCTTCACGATGTATTTTATTAGTCTAGAAAATCTTACTCAAAACCCTCTTCACCTGTTCTGGTTGACTCTGAGTCTTGTTCTTCAATGCTGGAGCATTTTGCTTGAAGCGCATTGGTCTGTTAGCATCCTTCTTCTGCTTCTTTGCCTCCACGTTTTCATCCTTTGTGACCTCGGCGTCATCGCCATCCTTCCTCTTCTTTGCAGCCTTCTTAGCTTCCATGCCCTCTTGTATCTTCGCGCGTTCAACGTTTTGTACATATTCCTTATTCTCCTTCGTCGTCTTGCTGATTTCAGCTCTCATTCTGCTGTTTCTCTCCGCATTTTCTGCCGCAATTTGTTCCGTCAAATTGTTCCATTTAAAGCCCTTCAAATAGAGAAGATTCCATACATCGTCATGATAATAGTTTCCTTTTTTGCCTCCAATTGTCTTCGCATTCAATAGTTCGCATACTTTCTTGGCGTCGGCTTTATTCACAAATTCTACCCACCCATCCACAAATGATCGCTTCTTATTTCCTCCATTGCGAACTCGTCTTGTGTGCGAAGCTGGATCTTCAGGTGTCATGAATATGCGATTAATGTCACCGTATGGTTCAAGGAGTGATCGTAATTTTGTTGGTTTCATGAAGGGTGGTATTCTGGAAAGATAGACAACGCCGGATTTCTTGATAGCAGCAGCACTTGCGACAAGATTCTTCTTCGTGAGAGGCCTTGAAATTCCTGGTAATTCCAATTCTTTCGAGGTATTCTTTGGTTTGGATTTCGATTCTGGTTTCGATTCGATCTCTTTTGAAGCTTCTGCGACTATATCATCCTTAGGGTCCTGTCCTTCTTGATCGCTATTCTGTTCGATATCTTCGTCATCGCTTTGATCGTCATCAACCTTTCTCCTCTTTAAACTTCTGCCACCCTTTTTGAGATCCTCTGCTTCCGAATTATATCCTTGACTCTCATCTCCGTCACTCTCATCCAAATCTAGGAAATCGTTGTGCTTTCTCGTCGCCATTCTTATGCTTGACTGAGTGATTGATTGATCGATTGACTTATTGCTTGGTTGGTAGATTGGTTGGTCGAATAGCTTGATTGATGAATGGGAAGAAATTCGGATTGCCCTTGGTAAAGAATTATAAATTTTGACCAGGATCACTTATCAATTTTTTTGGGTGGTGAATTCACAAAAAGTATAAAATTTTAGCGGCTTGGAATCTGTCGGCACCACTGGTGAACCCCTGTTACATCCTGTCATGACATTGACGCATAGCGATACCGGTAAGTGGGCGTCACTGATAGCTTTGCTTGACTCTCTTTATCCCACCACCACCCCCACTAGAATTAAATCTGCAACATAAGAAGAGTCTCATTGTGATTGTTTTGTTGCGCGTTGTATTGAATTTCATACAATTAAAAGAATAATACACAAAATTTCCAAAATGTCTGTCGAAACAATCACTACCATTTCTCCTATCACCAACAAGCCAGTCTTGACCAGAACTGGAATCTCTGCGGAAGATTTACAGCAATTGCCCGTCACTGCCACCGAAGCATTCTTGAAGTATCGTAAGACTTCATTGAAAGAACGTCAAGATATCGTAAAGAAGGCTCTTAAGCTCTTGAACGATAAGCAAGATGAATTGGCAAAGGAGTTGACGGAACAGATGGGCCGACCCATTGCCTATACTGCGAAAGAAGTTACCACGGCTGTGAAGAGGGGCGAATACCTTTTGAAGATCAGTGAGGATGCATTGAAAGACACAGATGGAGAGGCAGAGAAAGGATTCAAGAGATTCATCAGAAAGGTGCCAGTTGGACCATGTCTCATCCTCTTTGCATGGAACGTAAGTGTTGTTTTCCGGGCCCTCATTTCTCTGGCTAACTTGTTATTTTCAGTACCCCTATCTTATTCTCGTCAACTCTCTGATACCTGCTCTTCTCGCCGGTAACTCGGTCATTCTCAAGCCATCTCCGCAGACGCCTACAATTGTTGAACATATGGCATCCATCTTCTCTGAAGCTGGCCTTCCAGATAACGTCATCCAATATTTCCATTGCGGCTCCCCCCTCATTATCGAATCTATTGTTAGAGATCCAAAGGTAGCTCTCGTGTGCTTCACTGGATCTGTAGCTGGTGGTTTGGCTACAGCTAAGGCAGCAGCAGATAGAATCGTGAATGTTGGACTCGAACTTGGTGGTAAAGATCCCGCATACGTAAGAGGTGATGTTGATGTAGCGTGGGCAGCTGAGGAGATCGTCGATGGAGCTGTTTTCAACTCGGGTCAAAGTTGTTGTAGCTTGGAAAGAATCTACGTTGATGAGAAGATCCATGATGAATTCATTGAGGCGTTGCAGAATGTCTTGAAGAACTACAAATTAGGTGATCCTTTCAATAAGGAAACGGTAAGTACCTCACACACAATTATCGCTGGCTAAATACTTACTACTTGCTTATGCAGCATGTCGGCCCCGTCGTCTCAAAGAGGTCAAAGGAAACGATCGAGGCACATATCAAGGATGCATTAGATAAGGGTGCCAAGGATCTCACGCCCGAGAATGAAACCTTCAAGTCTCCTCCTTCAGAAGGCAACTACGTTAAACCTACGTTGCTTGGTAATGTCGATCATAGCATGACTGTGATGACTGAGGAGACCTTCGGTCCAGTCATTCCCGTGATGAAAGTAAAGAATGATGAAGAAGCCATCAAACTCATGAATGACAGTGAGTTTGGCTTGACCGCCTCAATTTGGACCAAAGACACGGCCAAAGCAGCCGAATTAGCTGAAGACGTAGAGGCTGGAACTGTCTTTGTGAACAGATGTGATTATCCAAGCCCTGTAAGTCACCTCTACCCTTTGATGATGTACATGAACATGGCTCACAAATATTGATAGGACCTTGCATGGACTGGATGGAAAAATTCCGGAAGGGGCGTCACTCTGAGTAAATTTGGCTTTGAACAATTCGTCAAGCTGAAGAGTTACCACTTGAAGGATTACCCTAAATAAGGGCTTTTAAGTATTACTTCTACACATGTGTGCTTGTAGTACAGAACTCTCGAACGACTTTGAGTCTTTTAACACCAGAAATCGGAGCCACAAATCGATAAGTTCTAGTCAAAAAGGAGCATTCGAGTAGAAATAAGCGATTGAAGGATCCATATAGACGAATGACGAATATACCTTATCTCTTTCCACGGCGCTGAAATTAATTTTTGATGATCAAGTTCTACACATGTCGAATGTCATTCTGGCATTGATGGGCCATGGCGCTTCTACGCCATTGGTACACGGATATCAATTTGTAGCCAAGCAATATGCACATTTTATTAGTGATACAATCTCGAAGAATTCTTGTGTCAAGTAAAAAGATTTGGATTAATGTTGATCCATTTTCTAAAGTAACGCAAGGGATCCATTTGATTGGACAAGACAATTGAAGAATGGGTGAAGATTACCTAGCAATAAGCCTTGCTGCAAAATCATTGGAAGGGGGAATTCTTTTGAAAAGTTAATCACATGATCAACCCTTCCTACTTCCTATCTTCCTGTTGTGCTCCCTCACATTTCCACGCTTTTCCCTTATTCCGGGTATGTTCTTGGGGCGACATTCCGTGCCTCCCTGATTTGAATCTGTACATCATAATTATTGAAGGGGAATTTTATGTAATTCATCAATTTACTTCAAGTCAATTTAGTCATGTTGATGAATTGAGGACAATTTCATTCTTTTATTTCTTTATTACTTATTGTTAACATTGTATGGTGCTACCGACTTGAATTGTTTGTCTACTCATAAGTTACCAGGGATCTAGTAGTCCTTTTGACATTAAACGTATTCAGCTCGTTAACCCCCCCTTTGACAGATTTAGTAGAAAAGAAGCGATACATCTTGATCATCAACATTCCAGAAGGGCCTCATCTGATAAGGGAGCAATCAAGGGAACTTCTCATTTCCTTCAAGCTTTGGAGTAAGGAATCCGCCACGTTACGTCGCCGGATTGCCGTTACTTTGAGGCGTACCAAAGAATGGGAATTTTGATGCACCCGAAGTAGTACTCATTGTAGTACTGACTCTGTGTAATTTCTCATATGATAGTATCGTTGCCCTTGACAGCAAACTGGCAATTCATATTCACAAATTTATTTTCCTCTCTTCAATCTATTTTTCTCATATATCTTGTTCAACCATCGCCAGTCTTATTATTCGAGGCATTGGCAGACAGCTCTTCAGCAATTCTTCTTCTTCTTCTTCTTTTATAGTCAGCAACATACCTACATCAACAATCATTCTTTCATTTATTTTCTTGTGTCATTAATTACAGTCATTCCTCAGTCACGCGTCTTCCAATATCCTGCATATTCATCGTTTCAGAAAAGCGCGTCTGCCTTACATTTTCATACCCGTTCTCAATCTACGGTATAACATCACGAGGACATTCAATTACCAACATAACAATTACTTATCGTTAGACATCACAGATATATATATTTATATACGCACATACTTTCATCTCAATCTCAATTCAATCATTTATCAACATGTCCTGCATACAACTCAAAGCTACACTCTTAAAGTTCAGCAATAAATGTGCTGAAACCCTTGGATTAAAATCAAAAACTCCCAAACCTTTATCTATAGTAAGTATATATCCATATATTCGGGTTCCGCATTGCACGATCTCTGACATGACCATCACAGAGTGCACCCTTCAATTTTCAAGAAGGCCCAGCAGTCAATCTCCCCGGTTATTCCGAGGATGAGTAAGTTAGCCTTCCCACTTCTCAAATCTCTTTCGACACCTTCAAATCCTGATAACATCTTAACAGAATATCACTCATGAAAGAGAAAGCTATTGCGTCAACAGCCGTCGTTTCAGATAATCACTATGCGAACTTGAATCGATGTTACGATTCAGATATCTCGGAATCACATTCGAGGACGGGATCTCATGGGTGTGGGATTGGGAGGAGTGTGGTTTATCATGCGAGGAGAGCTAGTAGAGGGTGTATGCATGGGAACTGAGATGGATGGGTGGTGATACAGATTGATTGGGTGGCTGGGGTTACTTGTATGATTATGGGTTGGTGTACGATAGGTACTGGGTGAGTGGGATGGTTACGGTTGCTGATTTGGGGCTATATGGACTGGGCGGATGGGAGGGGGTTGGAGTATTGTTATATCGTCGATATTGTTATGGGATGGGGTTATTGGCGGTACGGAAGGGGATACTTTTGATTATATAATCGAGTATCGTGATAAATTGGGATAGGTGGTAATGGAAACGGGAATAAATGATCCCATGGTGGCTTTAAACAAATTGATAGAAAGAAGGAAAGACGAAAGCAATAAAACAATTTTTGCATCCTTATCATCTTGAGATAGTCTCTTAAGAAGTCAATCATCCTATTTCTTGATTCGAGTAATGCAGGAATACAGATCTCTTAAGTGTTTATGATTCCATGCGTGTTTGGGAAATCACTGTCGGTTCTTCTGATATGCTAGATCTATCTACGTATTAGTTTGATTCTTCCTAATTCTCTTCATCTCTAATAAAGTCCTTAACGAATCAAAATATTTATCTAACTAAAGAAAGTAATGAAGAAAAAAGACGTTCCTCAACACTATCCTCGGAAAATGTTATCAACAAACGCCGAGCAGATTAACCATATCAAGTATTTGGGTAGTGCTGGCTCGAAAAATTCCTCATCAACTCATGAACTCATTATCTATATCAAGCCTTTCTTTCCTTCCTTCCTTCCTTCCTTCCTTAAGTCTTTCCTTTATAAATCCAACGCCTTGCAAAAACTTCTCAAAATCCATCCACATCCAACGCAGACCAAATCAGGATATCATATCATCGAAATTTAGAAGAAAAGCACCAAATATAAAGAAACAATCCTAAAAAGGAAGAAAGAATAGAGAGCAATGAAGGTGAACCTCTTTCTTAAGAGTCTTATTCATCAGGCTCCCATGTACCGTCGGCACTTTCTTCCGAAACGCTCTTCTTGAGAGAGGATTTTCTGGTGACGGGTGCTTTGAGACTGGGGGTTGAGGCAGATGAGGAAGGCCTGGGGGTGTTGGGCTTGGAACTAGCTCTTGTGGCGGGAACTTTGGTGGTTGCGGTGCTAGGAGCTGCAGTCATTGGAGCGGAATTTCTAGTGGTGACAGCTCTAGGAACAGTAGCTTTGAGCGCAGCAGACTTGGGTCCGACAGTTTTGGGAGCAGCGGCTCTAGATTTCCTAGTTTTGGGGGCGGCAGCTGGCTTGATGAGGTTGGGTGTTCCAACTGTGGGCCTGGTAGCCATGGGATCAGCGACACTGGGAACAGGAGTCTTTGGCTTCCTGGTCCTTGGAGTAGGAGTTTTACGAGTGATTGTTTTTGGTGCGATCGGATTGGCAGTGGCAGCTTTAGAAATAGCAGTCTTTCGGGTGGCTTTTGGTTTTGGCTTTTGACCTGGCTGCCAGTCTTCATCTTTCTCGTCTCTTGCAGCCATCCTTTTGTTGATGGGAATGAGGTTCTCCAAGTTGGGGTCTTGGCTTGTTGATGGTGTTTGAAGGATTTCTTCACTTCCAGGTGCGGGTGTGGATGCGGCTGCAAGGGGAAGATTGGATTGCTGGGCAATTGGTCGAGATTGAACTTCAATAAAGTTGTGAGGGTCTATGCTCTGTGGGATAGAGGCGGCATGTGTGGGGAAAGAGTTAGCATAGTTGTGTCTGACGGGCTCGGCTAGAGATTTAGCATATCCTTGATTGTAATTTGGGATAGGACGGGAAGAGTCGCTCAAGGTATTTGTTCCACCACTTCCTCTTGTACTGATTGAATCTCTTGGAGTCGGAGTTGACAAGGTGTTGTGTCCCGAAGGGATTGCTGCAGTGTTAATTGTGTTGTTTATGCCAGGTCCAGAAGTATATCCGGAAGGAGCTGCCATGATGCTTGAACTGTTACTTTCGATAGTCTCAGAGTTGTACACAGAAGGGCCTGGTGCGGTGTTTGCAAAGTTCCTTGCATTGGAACCTGCATTGAGACCGGTATTGTGTACTGGAGGCTTTGGCGCATCAATAATGAAAGAAGCCATTGGTGTATCCATAGGAGCAGCACTTAAAACAGCTCCAGAATTGTATATCAGAGTATCTGGTGTATTATTGGCGACAGTTGTTGATGCATTGGTGGGAACAACTACTGAAACGGTTCCAAAATTATATCCAGAAGGACCAGCAGCATTGTTGACAGTGCTAGCAGCAAAGTTGTATCCTGAAGCAGGAACATCATTTGCACCAACAGAACTAGACTTGTATCCCCAAGGACCAGGTGCTCCATTCATGGTACCCATTTGACAGAATACAGAATTAAACCCGGAAGGACCAGGAGTATCAATCGTAGCACTTATTTCGTCAATGACTTCAGCACCAACGGCATTCCCCCCACCACTCACACTCATTCTACTCATCTCATTATCTTCATTATCTTTGGCCGAAGCTAGGCTATCTTGCTGGAGAAGCCATATATGATCTTGAGAAATTCTCTCCGCAACATCTTGTCGGGGTTTTGGAGGAGGGTTTCGACTGCGTCCTATAGGACCTTTTCGATACCAGTTTGTCATAGCACCTGATTTTTTCGATGAACCTAATCTCTTTTCGGGTACAAGATCGGGGTTCAGGTAATTTGCACGGTAGGTAGCATCATAGCTTCGGAGGCCCTTTTGAATTTCTCGACGGTCTGATAAGGCCATCTGGGATGAGATGTTAGTCTTTGGATTGTTGCGATTCATGGGTATGGAAAGAAGAAGGATGAAAAGAGATATATGGGGATGAAAGACTTACATCTTCTTCATCATTAATATCGAAACCTCGATGTGTCCATTCTGGTATTTCTGGGCCTTCTCTAGCTCTATACAAATGTCAATGTCAGTCTCGGACAATAGTAGGATTTGACATTAGGAACCGGAGTATAAAATACCTCATAGCAGAATCAAAGCTCTGCTCTCTTCCCTGGAAGAATCTATGCTCATGTACAAGATAAGGAATATCGTCATATGGTTCTTCTCTCGTTCTCTTTTGATTCAAATTAAGCTTGATAAAGACGAAGTCCTCATCACTGATTGTAGGACCTTTAATCGGACCAAGGAGTTCGGGTTCCATTAGATTCATATTGTATCGAATACTTTGGAGTAGATTCTCAGATATTGGCGGGATCTCAATATCGTGATAGTCGGGCCAAGGAATATCATCCATAATATCATCTCCAGACATATCTGCGAGGTTGATATCTGGCATCTGGTCGCGGATTCTTTGCGACTTCTTGATGTCGCGATAGAGATCTGAGGGAAGGTTGATAGTAAATGGAGGTTGGTTGTCGCGATTTTTTAAGATTGCGAGGCAGAACGTGAGGTATGGAGGTCCAGTGTGAGTGGCTGGGGACGGCCAGCGTTGAAAGCGCTCTTGTCCCAGGTGCATTGGTTCGCACATTAAGTAAGGAGAGTTTGCCATGGTGAGAGCTGTTGATAATTTAGATAAGAAGGTTTGGATGTTGGGTAATTGAGTCATAGAACTAACTCACCATGGGTTTCGAATAAAGGTTCCGAGGTTGTAGGATCTGCCACAACTTTGTTTGGAAGAAGAGGAAAAGTCAGTTTTGAATTTCGAGGTTAAATAGGTATAAAGTAATGGGAAGGCGGTGAAAGGAACTTGATTGCAGAGTTGATTATGGTGAAGTGAACTCTTGAAAAAGTTCATGTTCCGAGTAGTGAATAAGAGATTGTTGGATGATTGAATGAATGAATGAATGAATGAAATGATGCAGTATTTGGAGTTCGGCCGAGATAGGAAGAATTGAAGTCTCTCTCATGAACAAGAAATGTAGACTGTTCTCAAAAAGAGATTCGAGGACATGAAGAGATGAAGAGATGATGTTGTCCAATAGCATCATTTATGAATTCATTCCAAGAAATGAATTATTAATTGCAGCAAAATGTAAAGTGGTTTGGGAAAATAAGATGTAGTCATCCTCAAAATGAATGTGAGAAGGACAAGGAAATAAGTGGCTCTAGGGTAGTTCTTCAAGTTGTTCTCAAAATTATTCTAACAGGAGGTCAAGGATTTGACGTCTGAATGACAGAAACATACAATGACTTGTACCATTCAGTGACCACTAGGTCTAAAAGCTTCCAGAAACAAGACTATGGACTATTCTCTGGAATATCTTTGTAGACTTTGAGAAACAGGCTTGCTTTGGGCATAAAAGGAATTGATTGGAGATGAACGCAAGAATTTGAAGACTCCTAGACAGAACAATCCCAGACAGTTCTCAAATCGACCCAAAGACAAGATTATCGCTTATTGATTCCTCAAGAAATGGAGTATGATAGCTCAGACAAGAAACCGATAGTAGATGGGAAAGTTCTCTATAAAAGGAACAGAGAAAACTGGTGTTGGATATGCTGGTATGTGTTGAATAGAAAAAAGCTAGATAGCTCTCAAATCCAGATCAAGAAATAAGTTAAGAGCTCATTACAACAATCATGGGGTATTTGGAAATATGAACAGACATTTTGGTACTTCCTTGAGTGTATTGAACGTGCTGCTTAACGGAAGATAGCCCATTAAGAGCTACTGGAATAACAAAAGAATCGTTAAAAATATTAGAACTTACTACCAAGATCCTCGTTCTCTCCAGTCATCTCCAAAGTTCTTTGATGGTAATTATCAATGATAGACTACCCAAGTAAATCAGTATTGTTGAATGAAATCTATTTGAAGCTGGGAGCTGAGGGATATGAGGTAAACAAGTCTGTGCTTCAGCCGAGCCAATCGGATGACTTTACACCTTTTCACAACTTAATCTCAACAATTGTATGATCGAGTAGTACTGCTAGCTTTGAAAGGAGAGAGAAACTTGAATGGAAATGAAAAATAATTGAATGAGCGCAAGGAAAGAAATATACGTACTTGATCGATATCCCCTAACATAGTCTCCATTTGAGAGCTCGACATGATTGCTTAAAGAAGAAAGAAATAAGAAGAAGGAACTGAAGAGAAAACTTTAAGTAGGTAGGCCAAGAACCTGAAAGCCAGCTCCAATTGTACGTGATTCATTTGATCCAATGTGAATATTCTCAAAACCGCTCTATTCACTGGTTTTTGATATGAGAATGACGTGATACGGCTCGGCATGAAACGGAGCTCTGGCTTTCATAATGATTTTCGAAGAATAATCTCTTATTTGGAGTATCAGATTTGAAACAAGTAGAGTGAGATGGTGAAGATATTGAATTTCATTCTAGAGAATAATGGCGCGTGAGTGAATTACATTAGTAGTGCACATATCACAAGTCATCAAGAGTTCTTCATTTAATTTATACATCTGCAGACGACTGACAATATCCATAGATGCATTTTAAACCAGAGCCATATCTTTTAGAGTTATATAACTCTCTAGAAAGAAGCCCCTGATAGAAGTCTAAGGGGAGTAGAGTAGTCTTTGTACAATGATGATGGAAAGACATGGAGAATACCAAACACCGTGATGTGATATATCTATTCCCTTAAGCATGGCGTTATTCACTAGTTCTTATATTCGAGATGGCTTAGGCTGACTTTGTGAGCTCCCGAGGTCGTGGCTTCTGTTCACTAGTTCTTCTACTTTGATCAACTCTTGCGGATGAGGATCTAGAGCCTGCCATGTTCTCAAGGCTGAAGATTCCTGTAGCGATACGAGTGAATATGCATACGTGAATGCACTAGCACACTAGCGGACTAACTTATTGCATATAGGTCTCGTATCTCTGAATCTAGAATAAAGAAGACACAATATCAATCAATGCATTATGACTATCATGAAGACGTCATAATCAACACCGAGGTGATACCAACAATTCCATACTTTGATTCATTCCTGTTCTAACTCATTCCGTGCCTATAAAATGAAAGTTAATAATAATATTACATCTAGATGAGGAGAATGAACAGAAGAGAATGTAACTTCAGTGATGTTTCAACATTCCCAAAGAGGACCGCATCTTCTAGGCCTTAGAATAACCAGTCAAATTGGTGTTAGACTAGCCTGGTCACTGGTAATTCATCAATGTAAGACTTTATTTCGTATTGCATCTAGAATGCTGTTGACATTTTCACTTGAATCTGTTGATTTACTCACAAGACACTAAACAAAATCAGTCAGTGACATGCTCTCATGACAAAACTAAAAAATCCAGGCAAACAAAAATAACATATCTACGGCTATAAAATCAGTCTGTATTCTACCACGAAAACTCAAATTTTCCTTCTTAATTTCTTACACTCGTCACATATCACAAATACGTGACGAACAACATATTCACCTCTGAAATATGGACGCGCCCTCAGAAGCTAAAACTGCAGGTCAACTAATGCTGCAACGAATCTCTCAAGATGACGATACTCAAGACGATTATCCAACCCAAAGTATTTTCGACAGACCCGAATCAAGAGAAGAAAACGGATGGGCTATCAAAATAGATCGCCAGGAAGTTTCATCCGCATTTCATAATTTGGAGCACATAAGGAAAATTACCAGGTCGAATTTTGGAGAGAATTGGGAGGGGATCTTGACTAAGCATTTTGGTAAAGCTGATAGTACATTGGGTCAGACTACTGGGGTAAGATTATCTGCTTTTGTTCTTTGGGTGAAATGTATATTTTGAGATTTGGGGTTGACGTTAGGAATTTTTTCCTTTTGAGAAGAGAAAAAACTACAAATATGGATGTTTCTCATTTTAGTTGCTTTGAGAGCTCTTGCGGCAGGATTTATATTGGGTTTGCAAGTGGTGGACAGGTGGTCCTTGAACCCCTTTTTCTGAAGCGAAAGATGTGTACTTGCTTTGATACTATCTCATTTTATCTCCAAATACACTTGATCAAGTTAGAACTGCATTATGAAGCATGTGAGCTAACTGAAGATAGGAAGAAGATGGTCATTTTTACTACGCAATGAATACAAAGGCAAGCTTATTCCTGACACAAGTCACGCAGAGTTTTGTTGCTCAATTTCAAAGAAGGCATTCTTAGTGACAATCTAGAATCGAGTTATCACATTGTCTGGATACTGTAAACTGACTAACACATAAATCTTCCAGGATGGAATAATCATTAGCATCGATTCGAAATCCCCCTACTTCACTAAACAATCAAAGGCGATAGTGACAGGCGAGCCAGTAGACAACGTATCAGCAACTACTCTCCAGACATGGTCCGACATAACCTATCTCTCATGGCATGAAGAATGCACTAAAACATCCACCCCCCTCAAAAATCTCAAACACATAATCCGATCGCACATCACCAATTCCGAAACCCTCTCAGTAATCACCGAGATCCTGGAAGAAGAAAAAATAATCTTCCCACCCAACGGATTGTTAGTCGAGATCAATGATTCCAAAGGGTATGGAGCTGCACTTCTGGGAACACCGAACGGGAAAGGTATTGGATGGTTACTTGCACAGCACAAGAATCAGCTTGGGAATGCGAAGATCGTGAGTGTGGAGATTTTCCACAGTTTCCAGGTGGGATTTTTTGATTGTGATGAGGAGACGGGAGAATTGATTGTGAGAAAGGAAAAGATGAGGGGGGCGGAGGAGCCTCGCGATCGTCTGAATTTGGACTTTACGATACAGTGTGGATGATATTTTAGTAGCTGTGTTGGGTAGTGGAATTTATTGGTCGTGTTTTGTCTTTTCTGAGTTCAGAGAGAAAGGTGAATGGAAAATTAGAAGTGTAATTATTTTGCGAATGTTGAATGGGAATTTAAGTTATGAAAGTTATATTAGGACCTGTATTATACCTCAATCATTTATCTTCTTTGTATTTTCTTTTTTCGGCCCCCTTTCTTTATCGAGCGAGGTAGCAGAGAGCAGAAACCATCCTCTCTCTACGTAATCGAAATAAGAGACGGAAATTAAGCATTCTTTTAAAAATTTCTTTAGTAAATTATATATCATAAACTCATTTTAAATCAAATATTAAATTTGAATTTTCCTTATATCAATAATCAGAAACATATATATTTAATATCGTAATCTTAAAGAGATATTCAAATAATCAAAATCCTTTCAGATAATACTCAATTCCCGCCTCTCATTTCGATTATATAGAATCTCCTTTTCAGTATAAAAGCACTCCAATACATATACCTATAGAAAATCATATACTAGAAACTACTACGAGTATAACCTCTATTCCACAAAATCTTTCCTCCGAAAATACCCACTTATTGATTTTCTTGAATACTCAAAAATATTATATAAGATACTATTTATACTTAAAAAGCAAAATAAAAACTCGTATTAAAAAGACTTATCTTTTCATATTTATATTTACATTTATATTCTCAGTAATTTTATACAATCTCTAATAAAGAGATGGAACCACTAGTAGGTGTACAGCCTCACGAAACAATTGAGAAGAAAGTATAATTTCATATCAAAAAAGCAGGTTTAATAATTCTATTGAAATTCAAATGTTTATCAAATCTTTTTGAAATTGAAACATATAATCATTAAGCAAAAAATTCTATATAAAATAAAATTTGAATAAAAAGAATCGAGATTAAAGTTTTGATAATAGAATATATAATTTCTCATTAAAAATTTTGATAGAAAAGACTACTATTGAATTTTTAAGCCCAAATCTCATTTTTTGTAAATAAATCTTAAACTAATTATTCTTTAATATTTAAAAAATATAATATGTCAATTCGAATAAAATAAAATAAAATAAAATTGAATTTTAAATTTCAATTGAATTATTAAAACTACTCTTTTTGATGAACAATTGTACTTTACTATTATATTATCTCGTGAGTCTATACACGTAGTAGTGAGTATATAATCACAATTATAATCATTATATAAAATTATATTATTTTATATGATAACTCAATAAATAAATACTAATAATCTAATATAGAATTAATCTTCTATCTATAGAAAAACTATTATACAGAATCCAGATCTAATAAACTTCTTATTAATTTTAGAAAATTTAATATCTACAATATATTACTCTTTATTTATCGTTTATTATATCTAGCTTCTAAGAAACTCGATGATTATTATTAGTATTATTTATTTATTCATATATTTATTTAAAAAATCCCAAATCCTATCTAGAAATAATCTTAAGGCCCGTTCGGATCGTTTTTTCAATTTATTACTAATATAGGCATAGTGTTTTTATTTAACTAATGATTTAATCTAATCTTATAGATTATTATAGGTCTATAAAATATAGAGTAAAATGTTTGAAGTATGACTCTATAGGGAATAAAATAAAAAGTATAGCGTAGAAAGTAAGAGTATAAGGAGGACTATCGTATTAAGTATAGTATAACTAACTCTAAGGGGAAGAGTTCTATATAAGACAGAAATCTCACTAGTACTAATCAGAGCTTCATTACAGATTTAACAAAATTACTATACAAATTTCAAATTTATTAATCTACATTTTCTAGCTTTTAATAACTCAACATCAGTATTTAATAAAACACTTTTGTCAATTTTATTATTCATATAAATTATTAAACTATATCTGCATTTAATAAACCCTTATATTACTAACAAATATAGTTTTATATTATCTAAAAAATCGATCCGAACGGGCTCGTATATATATCCCTCTTTTCTTTTCCTTTTTCCCAAGATAAAAAGATGTAGAATCTAAAACTACCTACCTACCTATACAGAGTACCTATATATAAAATAGCATATAAAAATATAAGCCAACCGTCTACTAAAACCTCCTAAAATCACAATCCTCAACTCAAAAACCCAAACCCATATCAAAACATACAAATCCATAAGTAAGTAAGTATGTAAAATGAAATCATCCAGTATATAACGTATGTATATAGGTATGTATATTTCAACGCCATCACCATCGCTATCAATATCGATATCGATATCGATATCTCAAGAAGAGGCAAACGCAATGCAAGGCAAGGTTATGAATTGTATCACATCCATCTATCCATCCATCCTATCTTGTGCTGTGTTATCCCGTGTTGTGTTCCATCTCCCATTGTAAAGATTTAAAATCTTGTATCTAAGTTATGATGTTTGAAAATGAAACTGAAACTGAAACTGCTTTAAATCCCTTCTAGCATAGCAGATGCCATAAAGTCTCGCGAATATGTCAGACAAACTCCCCATCAAATTCCATTACAAATCCCCATCCCCATCCCAAACTAACAAGTACTATCCCAAACCTCCGCACGATCCAAAACCAACTCCACAGAATTCTTCCAACCCAATCTCACCACCGTCTTCTCCTCAGGCTTATAAACCGGCCATCCATAATCACTCAAGCCCTGCTGACTATCCTTTGCAAAAGCCGCCCACGCACCTCTCATATACATCCCCAGCAAAACCTGTTCTTTTCCCGCGCCCGTGATGCCCGGTCCCGTTGGCCACGTGCCAAAAACGCTATAGACATCCGTGATGTGGAAGGCGCCGGCATCCACGCCCTTCAGGATTTGCAGGTTGGGAAAGTCCCCGAAATAGCGGTATCTCCATGTTGTGGCCCCAGCGGCTGCGCTTGCGTTTGCGCGCGCGGCGGCGGGACACGCAAAGGTGGAGTTGGTCATTTGGGGGATGTCGATGGGGTGGCTGGACATGAGGGATTGGGCGGCGAAGACGGCGGCTTCGTTGTTGGTGTTGCCGATGAGGAGGGGGAGGGTGGTGAGGTTTCCTGCGGCGGCGCGCGCGGGGTAGTCGGAGAAGACGAGAGTTTCGTCGATGGAGGGGAGGAAGGTGTGGAGGTGCGCGATTTGGAGGATGGCGGCCGTGGTGAGATTGGGGTTGCGCATGCATTGGATGACAGAGTCGGGGTCGACTGAGGCGTCGCCGCAGCCGAGGGATGAGGAAGTATTGCGCCAGGAAGAGAAGGCTTCGGAGGAGGAGAAGGTGGGAAGAGCGGGGATGGTACCGGATTGCATGATCATAGCCGAGACGATGGGATCTTGTGGGTAAGCGTAGGAATAATAGTCGATGGAACAACTTCCTGCCGATTGACCAAAGAGAGTGATGCGAGATGGATCACCTCCAAAATTGGCAATGTTGTTATACACCCATTCGATGGCGAGTCGTTGATCGAGCATTCCATAATTACTGGTTGGACCTGTTGAATCACCAGAGAAACCAAAGATGTTTACACGGTAACTTTGAATTATTAGCGACGATCGAATTGATGATGATGGAAAAGAGAAACTTACTTGATGCTAACCATAATTACATCTTCTTGATCCACAAGAGTCGAGCCATCATAAATATGCGATTCAGTCGCGCCATCTCTGAAAGCACCGCCATAGATCCAAATCATGACTGCTTTTTTGGTTCCAACGACTGGGGCTTGAGCGGGTTTGGGAACCCAAACATTGAGTGTTAAGCAATCTTCATTGTTTCTAGGTCCATCACCTGCTTGAGTAAAGGTATTGAGGATACTAATACCAGAAGCGGTATAGTTATCGACTACATCTGGGAAGTTTGATGGGATGAGTGAAAGTTCATCGGAGAAAAGCTTTGGACATGTATATCCCTATTAATTATTAGAATGAGTGTTGAAAAATACACCAAAGATAGTCAGTCTAACTTACAAAATTTGTACCATTAAGAGATCCATTTCCAGTAAATGGTTGTGGAGGAGCAAATCGCAAATCACCAATAGGAGGTTGCGCGAATGGGATACCGAGATATTCATAGACGGCTGGTTTCTTGGGAGATGGATGACCAGCCACTTGACCACTGGTTGTATTGACGCAGCGATAAAGTCTTCGACCTGCTTCGGATTGTTCGGGACATTGAGCCAGGATGGTGGCAGCAAAGAGAAAGAGAAAGAGGAACTTCATCATGATGAAGAGAATTCGATAGGGTCTAGAGAACTTGGCGTTTGTCGTGGGATTGTAGTAGAGATGTGTAGGAAGGGATTTTTCAGTAGTTGTGTGTATGCTGTGTATGCTGTGTATGTTGTGTATGTTGTGTTTATTGTAGATCAGAATCTCTTTTGGCAAAGGGACGAGGAAACTATATAACCTTTCAAAAGCACTAGAAGCTCGTAGAGTTCCTATGCTAAGCCCTGAGATTGATACCGCAGTCTTGTCCAAGTCCATACCACAGCCTTCTCATTCAGATTTTTCGGTGACTGTTAGAACATTAGACGAAGAGTGACTTGAGACGATAGTATAAATACCTATCGATTTTGTTGAGTTTGATATGATCGAAATTGGATACCTATATATAGAAAAGGCTATGTTGTGCATGCCTCTACGATTTGGTGAATATCTCCAAGCCGCACTTGCAGATATTCAGACGACGGGTTGTCATGCAATACCGATGTTTTGGGTACGAGAATCATCTATCTAGGTAGTATCATGAAGCACTTATTAGTAGTTCTCTCAGGAATTTAAGCAAGTATGTGTAACCATTTCTCACCAATATTATTCGTGAAACGGAACACTTCTTTCCGACGCAGAAGAGAAATTTCCAGTTCAATAAAACTACAATGATATCACGAAGACTCGAGATTTAAAACACATTTTCTATTTCCTCCGATCCAATCTTGTATCTTGTGGTTCGTGGTACAACAGAATTCATAGTTTCAGGTTGGTGATACCGAAAAAATTCGAAAGGGGCTTATGTTGTAGAACGATATCAAATTAAAGAACGATACATACATACAAATTTCTTTCCTTCAGAACATGAACATGAAATATGAATGGCAGAGTTCGAACGAGCCACGATTAAAAAGGCGGAGTCGTCTATCAATTCATTTATCAATTTATTTGGGTATTGAGGAGTTCCGAACTGAATTGCATGCGCAGTCGGAGGTTCATTGGTGAGATCCTCACGTTACTCAAGAAGAACGGGATATACAAGTATATCAAATATTCATACTGCTATGTTTTGAGGGTTCGCTGTCTTATGTATTTACCTATCTAGGTATACCTACCTAGTACCCATATAAACCACTGAGAAACGATATCATTAGTAGCGTAATACAAGCTAGAGAGGAAAACAAGATAACATACTCATACATTCTCATCAACACATATCATCCATGGATCCTGCAGACAGAATAAAGGAAATCCAAAGATTCGAATCATTACACTTGTAAGGTTACTCCACATTCACTAATTCTTGATTCTACTTGAGATCCTCTAACACTCTACTTATTAAAGAGATGTCTTTAGATAGGTAGGTAGTTAAGTATTTCAAACACAGATTCTATCTAGACCGAATCAAATACAACTTGACTCGTGCGTGGTACGTGGGACGAACAATAGGGTCGACTTCTCGAAAGAGATATGTCTTAATAGCGATATGATCGATGGATTTTCTGGGGAAAGACGATGAGAATAGGTAGGTAGTAAGTTGTAAGGTTTGAATGGTAGTTGTTCTAGGGAATTTCTTAAAATATAGAGAGAGGAATAGCATATAACATAGCGATAAATGTATTTTTACCATTAGAATTGAAATCTGAACTTCAAAGTACTTACATACTTGTTGCTAATTTAAGAAGTGGAAAGAGCGAGAGCAAATTAACTACTCCAAGTCTACTAGGTACTCGACTCGACATCTTCAATACAAGAAAACAGGAAGATTTTCTAACTAATCAAATCTAACATGCGAAAAAAAAAACATCTCTCAAGCCCCAAAACCCATAAAGCACTTACACATTTCAAATCCATCTGGCCACGCATTCCATCTTCGCCTCACTCAATATCATAGGTAGGTAATCCCATATGAAAATCTCTTCAACATGCTGCCTGAACCCCCCTCCTTCCCTCCCTCCAACACCAACCTACCATTCGAAACGCCCAAACCAAAAAATCCCACGCCCAAACCAAGCCTCAAAAAAGACCTCGATGAAAAATAAAAATAAAATAAAGATAAGACGAGGCAACTCCAACTCCAACCCCAACCTAAACCTAAACCCCAACCAAGCTGCATCCACAGCCTTACGGCCCAAGGTACTGGATTCGGGTCATTTTAACGCACGCACGCGCGCACACCTGCATTCGATTCGCCTTACCACGCCACGAGCGATGTGGATATACTTACGAACGATTTGAGAATTCTCCAGTGCTGACTGAGATTTGAAATACTTCACAGCTGAAGATTACGATTATGATTATGATTGTCAATATGATGACCAAACGAAAAGAACAAAAGAACGAAAGAGAGAAAGAAAGAAGATTCGTCGGTATCGCCTCGCGATACATACTCAAACGAGAAACGAAAACGAGCATGTTTGTCTGACACGTCAGATTCCCATATCATCCAGGTGCTCTGCTTACCGTCCGTCCGTCCGTCCGTGGAGATATCTACCGAGATGGATTGAGTACGTAGATACTGAGGCTCGGAAACGGAATCTTCTGCGTACGGTACGATGGATGCGATGTACAGCTCATCATGGATCTGGGTTTGGGTTTGTAGGTAACCCCGCAGGAAGGCTTATCCATATGTAGGTACTCACCGTTACTTGCGGGATGGTTTGTGTGGTGTGTTGTGTTGTGTGTATCGTAGTGCGGATATAATGCGAGATGCGAGGTAGCTCTGTGCTCAGGGTTCAGTTCTTCCAGAGTTTCGCCGCTCACCGATTTTATTTGATGGGCCACCAGCATACGAGGGCGTGTTTTTGATGATTGCCGCTTTCCATAAGCGAAAATATCAATCTTCGAAAAATAACAACCTCACATATAAATCTATATATTATCATATTATTCCCCTAAGAAATTTTATTATATAAATCTTATAATCTAAATTAAAATAAGATTATTCCCAGAATATTATTCAACCATAAAAGTTGTTATTTTTATGGTTTTCAATAATAAGTTTATATACTTTTATAATATATAGAATAATATTATCAATAATTTCTTGAAATATATTAGATTATTCTTCTTTCCAAGTTTTATGTATTTCTTTTGTATTTAAGGGATAAATACCTGTATCTCATTATTTTCGAATTTATATATATATATACCTCTATATATACTCTATAGCATTTATATCAGGAGATTGAGGTAACCAATTGAAATTTATAATATTGGACTTTTTCATAAATTCCTTGATATAAGAAGCTTTATATACTAATATATTATTCAATATCAATATAGTATTCATACTATTGCTTTTATTAAACTTTTATATCCATAATTTAAGCTTAGATTTTAAAAACCCTTTAAAAAAGCAATACCAATTAACCCCTTCTTTATTACAATTCCCCCTTTTATATACAATACTCTTTTTATATATCATATTACTAATAATAAATCCAGATTTCTTCTTCCCTTATAAATCATATTCTCTTTTTTTTTGTTATTGACTACCTACAAAGGCTAATATATACAATAAATTGTATTCTTAATTTAATTATTCCAACTCCTCTTTAGCCTCCTTCTTCTCTTCCTCTATTTTAGTTATATATATAATGCATAATCCAAAACACTTTCCTAGATATATACCCCCAAAGAACTGATTACAGCCATATTGTAGATTCAAAGTAAAAGCTTGTTTTATATCTTTATATTTGTATTCTTCTAAGATATACCACATTCTATAAATATCTTCTTCAAAATTGTATATTATAATTATATCAATAAATATAACTCTCTCAAAGGTTTTTCTTAATATTTTTTATAAATCTGTAACTCCTATAACCCTTTTTTTCCAATATCCTATATTTAATTATAGCTTTTTTGTAAATATAATATAAGAAAGATAATTCACATATATAATCTTCCAAAAAATTGAAACATAAATCTTTTTCTTATACATTTTATTCTAATTCAAAGTATATTGATCTGTAGATAGTATTCTACTACTTCAAATTGCTTTAACCATAAAAACTAGCATTTGTTATTCATATAATCCCAAAAAAGATTACTATTCTCAAATATATCTATTTTCAATATTCGATATATCAGCTAATAAAGATTATCTAGTTTTATTATATATACTATTCAATTCGTTTCGATTTCGTATATATTGTTGTATATATCTTATAATTCTTTTCGAAAATTTATAATTCTAATATACTACTTCCTCTTGAATAATAATAACTTCAGTCATACATATAATTGTCTATCTAATTCCATTAAATACCTCTTTTCGATTAATTTTAAATATTTGTGAATATATCTCTTTACTTTATTAATCTTTATAAAATATAATTTAATGATTTATATAAAATAATTGAATTTTAATTAAATTTAAAAGATTTAAAAGCTGAGAATGTATTCTTGATATCGCACGGTTTTGGGTTGTGCACGGGCCCGGCAATCATCAAAAACACGCCCTCGTAATGTATACCCGACTACTCGTACCTAGCCACTCGTTATTCATCATTCATCATTCATCATTCATCATTCATCAGCCACATACAGACCCGCAATATCACAGCCACATCACATGAAATCCATGATACTGAAATCCTGTTCCTGGCCCCCATTTCTTCTTCACAATTCATAGGTACCGACCAATTCTCAGTACAGAAGCGATCTGCAACCCAAGACCAAACTTGTCGGTAGTATGGGATGATGTTTCATCTCTCTGTACGTATGATTCGATCTCAGGATTTGCCACGAGTCACGACTTGTAACGCGTTCGGTAGTTCCCGGTAGTTGTGTTGCGTGTGTATGGATTGTATCACGTGAGTGTGTCATGATTTGATATTGATGGAGATAGATTGACGGGGATGAGGATTTGAATTGGCGATGTGGTGATGTGTGATATGTGATGTGTGATGTGGGCAAAAGTGGACGGAGGGAATGGATTTTCAGCAATGGTTGTGTGGCTATGTTGAATTTTTTTGTCAATGATAGCCTATCGACAAGTCGGTGGAAGAGCGAGGTGGGAACTTTATTAAACCACAGCACGGGACGGATGTTTCGATACGATAGGATGGAATGGATAGGATATTGTTTATCCCCGTCCCAGTTCAGTCCCCGCATTGAATGAAGAAACCTTGAACGACTAGATCATTTTTTTGCGGTAATATTGATGTCGCCGTTGATTCATGAGGGAGGTCAGCCGCTGCACCAATGTTAGTGAGCACAGATTCAGATTGAAATTCCAATTCCATTTCAAGAAATGTGTACGATATGTATCATGTATGCAGCACCGAGGAAATGATATGGAGTAACAAGCTTGCAGCGACCGATATGCGACCCCGGGAGAAGCGTTCATGGATGTGGGGGGTTTGGCTTAAGGGGTAATTATAATGTCGTCGTCATCACATAAGAGGGCGCTTGTTTGTGATTGATGGAGATGTTATAGGGATTGTATTGATGATGGAGAGTTGGTTTGATATCTTGTACGAAATACTGTATGTGTTGTTGTCGATGGATTGAAGTTTTCTACTTTGTATTGATCAAATAGAGAAGAACGAACTGTACTCGGTCGTACGATATAAAGTGTATGTACCTCCTAGATATAGCACCAATCTCAATAGCAGACGATGAAGTGTAGTACAAATATCACCCGTAATGAAGTGTCGTTACCGATGTTCAAAACTAATGTATGCCAATATCTCATTGATAAAAGCTTGATAAAATCAAGATTATTGGCTTCTCTTGTGTAAATGCGCCAAGATGGGAAGATCAAGATTTAAGTGATGGTGTGGTGATTTTGGAGGAGAGAAGAAATCTTGATTTTTGTGAGGAAGATTCCTTGGTTTTAGGGGTAAATGCTTGAATGTTTAGGAGATTTAAGGATGGGATGGGATATGGCATTGGGATTTGGGACTTGGGATTCGAGACTCGAGATTTAGAATTGATTGTATTGTTGATGTATTGTTGATGTATTGTTGATGTATTGTTGATATATTGTTAATGTCTGTTAATGTCTGTTAATGTCTGTTAATGGATTATTAATAGATTGTGGAAGAAAGTATTGTCTATGAATAGTAATAATTTATATAATCATCATTAGATGTAAAGTATTGGTAGATATATACCAGTAATATATACAAGTAATATATACACAGTAATATTATTTAGACAGTTATAATATCATAAAAACCATAATATCATAACAATAAAGATATCAATCACTTCGCATTGGTGCCACGCACTGGGTTGGGTTTGCGCAAACTATCTACCATCTACCTCAATATCATTGGACAATTTACCATCTTATGATCCTTTAAAAGCATCATCGTCACCATCATCGTCATCGTCAAACCTCACTTGTCGTCGTTCGTGATAACATCATCCAGCATACCACATTTATTAGCATTAATGAGGCATTTATCACGGAACCAAAGAAAGTTGGTGAACGGGTGAACTGGTCTGCACAACTGCAGGAAATTTGCCAAGACATTAAGGATCCTCTTGACAATTTACATCTTTTAATCCTCACTCACATCACTCACTTCACTCACTTGAATGTTTTGTGAATCTTTCTCTTCTCTTACCAACCATCATACTTTCCACACCTTGCCCATCTAGAATTCTACATCCAACCTCAGCCTCTTCTAGTCTTCTCGTCTTCTCGGCCACAGGTCTTTCTTTCCCTGGTAAGGTTCTTCTAAAAAATCAACCTACGAAGAGAACCTGGAACCTTCCTTCCATTGATCACCAGCCACACTCACTCTCACGCTCACCATTCCACAGCCAGAATATCTGGGGCAAATTATTCTAGGAACGACCTCGTAGATAAAAAAGATCATCAAATTCAAATCCAAATCCAAATCTCCATCCCAACATCAACATCTAAGCCACCTCTTGAAATTTGCCCATCAAAAAAAAGGTCGAGAAAGGACTCAATTCCTCAAAGGCAGTTATCTCAATTCGCCTCTTGTGAAGACATAAAGTTATTAAATCTTCTCTCTATCCAAGAAGTACCTAGGTACATAACTATTCTGTCCTTTGGATTCTCGTGAAGGATCTCTTATTATTAAACACCCCCTGGTCAAGAAGACCCAGGTACTAGGACTCCATACAATCAATTTAATCTTATTACCACAATTACCACAATTACCACAATTATCACATTTCCTACCCAAAAAAATCAACAAATCAACAACGACTACCGGTATCTACCACCTACTAGGTACACGGACGACGCATGGGAACTTAGATCTGAACCATCCAATTCCAATCAACAAAATCACTCTGGTCTCGGAAAACGATCAGCTCACTGGGAACGAAAAAAAGGGTGTCACTTCTCAACTCAACTCTATCTTCTTCACAGTCATCCACCGTTTCGTTTTTTCAATCATCGAAGCGCCAACATCAGCACCAGCACCAACATCAACACCACCATTAGCACCACCATCAGCATCAATTGGGTCTACAGGAATAAAGCCTGACTGTGCCTTATCCGCCCTCCATCCCTCCCTCCCTCCCTCCCTCCCTAGTCCTCATTTTATACGACCACAACCTCGTCAACGACCACGACCATTATTTAGTCCCAAGATCCACCTTCAAAGGTCAAGTTTCGAATCATCAACCCCCCCCCCATACATTGTTTGTCAACTTGATAATACAAAACATGGCTCCAAACGATTATAACCTTTGTTAGTCAATTCCTTTTCTCACTAACATCTTTTGCAAATGATTATCATGTCCATGCCCGTATCAACATTTGTCACTTATTTATTCTGATTTTCCTTCCCAATTGTTGATGGGTCAGTACTTACCATTATGTTCAATCTAGATACAACAAAACGAGCGGCGCGACAAGAAGCATGGCATGGTCCAGGAACAGAATGGAATCCTTTTTCGAAAACCACTCGACGGAGCAGTACCTTTCCCGCTCAAGTTCCCGATGAAGAAGCTTTGAGAGGATTAGAAGAACCTGCATTAAGAACGATAAATACCGAGAATGGTCCACGATCGTCAGCGAGCCAAGCACCATTTTTTAATTCACAGAATGCTGGCACGGCAATGGAAATGCAAGATTTAGAAAAGTCGGCGACAAATAATGGTGGACGTCCTAGCGATCCAAGTACCGAAGCAACAATTGTTGGAAGACAATCATCGAGGCAACCGAGTGTAGAGGAAAAAGCACGACGGAGATTCCTGAGCAGATTTACCAAGAAGGGTAGGGAAGAAGTCGATGGTGAAGAGAAAAGGAAGAAACGCGGAATCTTTCGAGGAAAGGATATAAAACACGCGCCCTTCACCCTGAGGAGTCAATTGCAGAATACCATTTTCAATTCCTGGATCAACGTCTTACTTATCGCTGCACCAGTCGGTATCGTACTCAATTACGTTGGTGGGGTAAATGGAATTGTTATTTTCGTGGTCAATTTTCTTGCCATCATACCGCTGGCAGCGATGTTGGGTTTTGCCACTGAAGAAATTGCTCTTCATGTGGGTGAAAGTTTAGGAGGTTTATTAAATGCTTCTTTTGGGTATGTATCATGTCTGGCGATTTATGGTCTTTACTAACTTGAATTAGAAATGCCGTCGAGATGATTGTCGCTATCATTGCCTTGGCCAAAGGAGAAGTTCTCATTGTTCAAACTTCTTTGGTTGGTAGTATTTTATCCAATTTATTACTCGTCATGGGAATGTGTTTCTTCTTTGGAGGACTTCGAAGAGAGGAACAATTCTTTAACCAAACCGTTGCTCAAACCGCTGCAAGTTTGTTGGCCTTGGCTATTGCTAGTGTCATTGTTCCAACCGCCTTCGATTTATGGAGTGAAACAACCGATGCTCCAATTGCAGCTATTTCACGTGGTACTTCGGTCATTCTCTTGGTGGTATACATCGGTTATCTTTACTTTCAATTACATACTCATTCTACCATGTTCAATGAGGAGAGTCAAAAGGTACCAATGAGACCACGCAAGCATGCTTTACCACAAGGTGCAATTGCAAAGGGTTTGGCCAAGGCTGGAGGAATTGGAGCAGGACCTGGTCGAGCAAATATTGCCGAGAGACCACCTAACGATGAATTGATCAACCCAAACGCACACGAGGAAGATGAAGAGGAAGAAGCTGAAGAAGCACAATTACACATCTTGGTTGCTTGGGCGACTCTTGCAATTTGTACTGCTATCATTGGACTTTGTGCAGAATTCATGGTTGATAGTATCAGTGCAATTACTGAAGGTGGTGCTATCTCGGAAGAATTTGTTGGTCTTATCCTTTTACCTATCGTTGGAAATGCTGCAGAGCATGCTACTGCTGTAACTGTTGCTTGCAAGGATAAAATGGATCTTGCAATAGGTGTAGCTGTTGGATCTAGTATGCAAGTTGCTTTGTTCCTCATTCCGTTACTGGTTGTTATCGGATGGATCATGGGCAATGATGCTATGAACTTGAGTTTCGATGGTTTCCAAGTTGCCGTTTTATTTGTGGCTATTTTACTAGTCAATTATTTGATTGGTGATGGTAAAAGTCATTGGTTGGAAGGAATGCTTTTACAATGTCTTTACATGTAAGTTTGAATTCATTCCTTGGGTGATATCTTTATACTAACATTTAATAGAATTATTGCAGTATGTGCTTGGTATTACCCAGCAACAGGTGCTGCATAAATCAAAAACATCGAAAAATCAAAATACGTTTAGCTCAATTTGGAGTTAATACTTCTTTCCTATATTGAAGCCTGACGTCATTTTCGACGTCTATTAGCATTTCGAAGCTCATATCGGCGAAGATATTTCATCTCGAGGATTCTACTTTTTTTCAGAATCAAAAATCAATTATAGTTCATATTCGACCTCGAGTTTTCAGTGCATACACACGCATACACAATTCAATATTTAATGTTTATGTCATTCTTTTTATCGCTTCTTTTCATATCTTTCAATGCCGATTGTATAATATGAATACCACTTTTTTCACGCTTGCATGTACATATCCCACAAAATTGCAGGCGTTTTTTGTTCGATGAGATTCTTTATTGCGTTAGATGGGTGTTTAGGAGTTTGAATTTGTCATTCTTTTCTAAGATGAGGTGAAGACGAAAGTTGAGGAAAGGGAGGGTAAGATGGAGATGTAGAAATGGAAGGAAAAGAAGTCTGGGGAAGAATGAGAGAATGGAGAATGATTGTAATGGATACCAATATAAAGTTTTTGCGAGAGAATTGAAAGAGGAATTGTAGATGTTAGGACTAGAGTAGAATAGATGCGATGAGATAAGAAAAGATAATAAGAAAGATCTTTTGAGGATGATTATTGAATTTTATATTCTAATGAATTGAGTGAGTAGTAGATGAGTAAGTTAGTGAGTAAGTTAATTGAACCTGAATATTACGATTTTATTAATTGGATATGAATATGAATATAAAGAGGGTAATGAATAATAGATAGATAGATAGCTAGATAGATAGATAGCTAAATCTAAATAATATGAAAATAGATAGATAGATAAATAGATAGATAGATATAATAAAAAATAGAGAATAAAGAATAGAGAGAGATATATGTAGTATTAATCGATTAGCGAGAATGATGAATTGATGGATAGATTGATGGATATCTAGATAGGGGTAGGGAGATAGTTGGTAGTGAGGGTGAGGAGGGTGAGGAGGGTGAGGAGGGTGAGGAGGGTGAGGAGGGTGAGGAGGGTGAGGAGGGTGAGGAGGGTGAGGAGGGTGAGGAGGGTGAGGAGGGTGAGGAGGGTGAGGAGGGTGAGGAGGGTGAGGAGGGTGAGGAGGGTGAGGAGGGTGAGGAGGGTGAGGAGGGTGAGGAGGGTGAGGCGGGTGAGGAGGTGAGGAGGGTGAGGAGGGTGCGGAGGGTGGGTGAGGAGGGTGAGGAGGGTGGTGAGAGGGTGAGGCGGGTGAGGAGGTGAGGAGGGTGAGGAGGTGAGGAGGGAGGAGGGGGTGAGGCGGGTGTGAGGAGGGTGAGGAGAGTGATGAGGAGAAGGAGTGTAAAGAGTGTGAGGAGGGTGGGTTGGTGTAGAGTGGGATGATAGGTAAGTAGGTTGAAGGGGGTAGGTAGTATTCTTATCGCTTTCCTGCTCTTCTCGATATACTAGGTTACGACTCGGGGCACGGGAGTGTGGAGCGACGAAGGCGAGGGGGCGAGAGCGAGAGCGAAATTCTTCCTTCGCTATGTCTTTTCTTCTTCTATTTCCTCTATTTAATCTATTTTCTATTTCATCTCTTTCCTATTTATTCCTTTTCTTTAATCTTTACTTTTTTACATTTCTATTTTTGTTGTCCCGGTATGGATTACACGTGATGATAAGCGATAAGCTAGGCCCCTGTTAGACTAGCTTATAAGTAAAAACTCTATATATCTTTATATTGAAAATCCTATATTGTAACTCTTAAACTACATCTTAATCTATACCCTATACCTATTATTCTTAGCACTGTTGAATATAGATTCCTGATTTTGCTTATTTGTTTTATAATATTATATAACTCCTACTAATATTATTATAATAGTGATATTAACTCTACACCCACCCAATTACTTAAAAAATACCTTTAAACTCAGTATAATTATAGCAGAGGATTTTTAAGCTTAATACTAATACCTCTAATTAATAATTATATATATTATCAAATTAAAAAAGATTATCTTATTTCTCGAATACAAGATTCGAGAAGTATTTGTTAAGAAATATATTAAAGCCTCTCTATATAAATAGATTACTGTATAAAATATCCATTTATTTAATTGTCTCACTAAATCTATATCTACTCCTGTTATACTTTTTGAAATAATATTTACTAAATCTATTCTTAAACAATTTGATATTATTATATTTATTTTATTTATTACTATCCACCTAAATAAATATATCCCTAATTTTAAAAAATTTAATAATTTTTAATTTGATTTACAAAAATTTATTTAATAGATATATATAAAAATAAGCTCAAATTCTAATTGTTTTTTTATTATTTCTATTTATTTAATTTATATTATTAAAAAATTTATTGGGAGAGTTTACAAATTAATTCTTTTTAAGATTATTTTATAATATCTATAATTTATTAATTATAATCTATTTTTGAAATATTTAACAAAATAGTTTTAGAGATTTTTAATTACAAATAAAATATTTTAAAATTAATTATATCTAATTTAAATAAACCATATCTCGATTTTAATATTTATTTTGCTAAATTTTAGAAATTAATTCTAGAAAATAAAATATCTAATAATTATTCTAATTTTACTCTTCTTTTAAAAAATCTTTTGAGAATTATAAAATATACTATTTTATTAATTTATCTTATCCTATAATTTTCAGGACATATTCTATTTATTTGTACTAACTTAATAACTCGGTTTTTGTTAGTATTAGTAATAAATTCTTGAAATTGTTTTATTGTTTTAATTTCCGTTGGGAAAAGAATTCTCATTCTATTATTTGAATTTACCTGTAATTTGTTAATCCAACTTTTTCATATAAGTAAAACCATTTTTTTTATTTGTTTAGGGAGGAGATTCTATAGATTTTAGCTTTTAATATTATATTATTAATAATAATTTATTCTAAAAGGAATAAGAAAAATATTATTATTGTAACTTTGCCAGCTATTTAATTCGTAATTACTTATATTCCGATATTTATTTTATTTAATTTAAAATTAAAACTTCTAATTCCCCTAGATATAACCTTGCCTTGAGAAGTCTATTAAAAGGCAGAATATCTATTCAATCCCCGTTTTGCTTTTTGCTATAATTATTACCCTATTCTCCAACTAGTTTGTTCAGATTAGGAAATAGAATTTGTTTGATTTAAATCACTACTAAAACAACTCTCTACATAAATTCCATTTATTTGTTATTATCATTTAAGGATTACCCTTAAAAAATGAATTAAATAATTGTACGAATTTAATAATCCTATCTATTACCCTACTTTTAGGAAGAAATATTTTTTCAATTTATATTATAATAAATAATAATTATAAAGGGATTGCTTTTACTAATCAAAACTAAATATTATTCCAAAAGATTTCTAAATATAAATTATTTACTACCTTCAAAATTATTAAATTCAATAACAAAATTCTATCTGAAAATCAGATTATATTCTATATTTGTATTAGATTTAGAATTAATGATTATATCAAAAAAAGAATTATTTTGTATATAATTGAATTAGTTTATTATCCTGTAATATTAAGTATAGTTTGATTTAAGAAGTATAATCCCTATATCGATTTTGTAATAAATTTATTTCAATTTGATAATTTATATTACTATGAATTCTATAATATTCCATCCTGCCTATTCCAAATAAAAGTTCTTTTTAACATTTTTCTAAAAATCTAATCTATATATCTATTAGATTACCTTGAAGATCTGAAGAATAAAGATATAATTATAATCTTTTTAAAAGCTTGTTTTATATATACCCATTAAAAATATAAAATATTTCAAATCTTTATTAAATAAATTGATAATATCTTAAATAAAAAGAAAAAATTCAATCCAAATAATCTTCTATCTAAATTTCGAAACTAGAAAAATATATTTTTCTTATAGAACATTAACAAATTATTATTATATTGATTTCACAATCATAAAATCTGATTCTAAAAGAAAGTTATATTACCCTTTAGAGTTTTATATACTATATCCCAAACTAAATTTGAAGTTTTGAAAGAATAACTGAAAGAAAACCTGAAAAAGAGATTTATTCGTTTTAGCTTTTCGTTTGTTGTGTTTTTTATTCTGTTTATCAAAAAAACTAATAAAAACCTCCGTTTTTGTATTGATTATAGAGTTCTGAATAATTTGTTCGTAAAAGACTGATATTTGTTATTGCTGATTAAAAAATCTCTAAATAACTTAAAGAAAATAAAATACTTTAATAAAATCGATATTATTTCTATCTTTATATGGACAAGGGAATTCATTCAAGGGAATTCACTTCAAAGGATTCACTTCAATACAAAGGCAACTGTATTAAGATTATTAGGCGAAAGCGAAGGAGACTAGCTCTTTCAGTAGTGCCTATATAAGGCCTACTATTTCCCTCATTTAGCTAGCTCCTTAGATTGAATACAAATAGATATTTAGGGGCCTATATATAGTAGAAACTATATCTTTTGTATCTCTCTCAAATTAATACTAATTAATAATATCACAAATTACTTACTTATTCGAAATACCTTTTTACTCTTATTTCTTTTACTTCCATTATAACATTCCAAGCAAATATTAATACTAGTTTTAAACAAGTCGGCAAGAAATTCGAAGTTGATAAGAAACCTGATACTAGTAAAAAACTGGTTCTATTTGATCAATCTATTAGTATAGAAGGATATATCGATACAATAATCGATAATACTGATTCTCTATAAATAGATTTCAGTATTTCCTTTTATAGAGATCTAAATCTAATCAATACTCCTCCTTATCCTCATTTTATCATTTTTCCTAACCCTTATATTCCTTTTAACAAAATATCAATTGAAGAAAAAAAAGCTTAGGAAATTAAGGATTTGGAATTCAAAGAAGAACTTTAGAATTATACTTTTTTAAAGGATTTCAATAAAGCTAGATAATTCTATAAAGAATATATATTCAGATTAGAAATAAAGCATTATATTAATAAATACTT